ATCATCAGGTCCAATTCTTCATTTTCAATTCAAGAACCCATCAACTAGCCTTCCTCCATTCATGAAGGGAATTGTATTACTGTTTAAACAAGATGCTATTGCTTTTCAGAGCATCTTCGATTTGCCGTGGATTTTTGTTTTTCGCTTTTTGCTAAATCTATGAAATGAGGGATGTATCTTTTTTTAATAAAGATGGCCACTTGCCTTTAGAGTGCCAGCGATAACGAAGAAGATTGTCATGCGGATCTTCGTTACGAGAAAGGTCTTGTACTATATCGATCTCTCGAGTCCAGTCTTCCTTCATTTCCTTTCCGAAGTACTTCAGAAACACCATGCCAAGTACGCCTTCTTCCTCGCACCAAGCGGTAAAGTAACCCTAAATCACAAGGAGACAGCGGAAAGAGGAAATAACAGAATTTCCTCGCTCGTGATATCGTTTGGTATTTGCATAGAAAGACATTTGATAGAGGTACCAACGGAAATATTGATTTTATTACAAGGTTGGTCTGTGATGACAACGATACGTGTACCCTTGAAACCTATCTTACTTTACTTTAATAATTATCTTTATCCAAAAGTTTACTGTTTCATCCCAAAAAATGTACTTACAGTTGAACGCTTCCCTGCAGTGTCTTCTTTAAAGATATCCACTACTTCGATCAGTTTTAATTTAGTGTTCACTTGTTTACTTTTTTGTTTCCGTTTTTCCACAATTCTTATAACCGGCTGGGGACTGGAATCGGCAGTGGAGACCAAAGTGTTTTCAGCATACGTTCTCAAGTAGTCCATAGTAGATTGATCTAGAAATAGAAATGGAAAGATAACACGACAACACTATGCAACCTCCTAGAAAATATTTGATTGAGCAATAATACACCTGCATAACAAAATCGATCTTTACAGGAAGGAGTGCAAGACGGATTGCAAGTATGCAACTTGTGATAACTTTGAAATCGTGTAATCCACTGAAAGTGGTAGATTTGAAAAACATTCACGATACAATAAGGAAATTACATTTTTTCAAAGACATCACCACCTTCGAAGTCCATAGAAAATATATCAAACATTTGTTGCAGCGGTAAATCTTACTATTTTTCGACCCACCTCCAGCGCGACTATTCAAGGTCTTCATAACCATACCAGTGATATTTTTCCTCTTTCTGGATAAACTTCGTTTCGTTCTCTCGGTAGAAAATGTATACAGGATTGGATTAAGGGAAGAGTTTAACGGAAGAACAAACACTGCGATCCACACGAAGGCAATTTTGTGCGGATCATAAAAATTTCCTGTCAGAGACAAAATGCTGATAATAATTATAGGCATCCAGCAGCAGAAGTCTGTCATCAC